TCTGTCGGCCCGTTAATTGTGTTCATTTCATAAGATTAATTAGGCCTGATACACGCTATTGGTGCGCCACTCACTCCGCTCTTTTGTTTGTCTCTTTCTTTCTTTCCCTTCAGTCGCGACTTTTCGGGATAAATTCGAAGAGAAAATTCCGCGCATAGATAATTGAAAATTGCTTCGTTAATATTTGATATCGGTGGAAGCGGAGCAAAGGCTCGGTGTGTCCTAGACCCATCGTCGTTTTTGTCCGAGCAGTGTCCGGCTCCAAGTAAACGCTTCTCTCCGCGCGTATCAGCGTTCTCCAGCCGCGTCGAAGCGATCCCGACGTATGTCATCTCTAACGCGAGCCCGTCCCTATCCAGAACGACGGCGTCGTGAATCAGGTCGTGATATCATGAATCACGACGGAGACGTCGCGGGGCCCGACGATGTCTTTTTCATTCGGTCGACCGACTTCTCGTCTTTCTCATCGTAGGAGAGCCCACAGCTGTCACGGCTGCGTACGCCTCGCTCCTGATTCCCGTCCCCGAGCCGTTCGATAAATCGACCACACTTGAGTCTACCGGTTTGCGATGAAAGCGATAGATACAATATTGTAGCGATTATTAGGATCGCGCTTGCGTCGCGGGACGTTCATTCGAAATACGAAACGCGAATGGCGAAACGTCCTACTTGTATGGGACACAACGTATCGTCTGCACCAAGAAAAATATTTTATGCCAATTAATATTATACAAAAGTGCATTCTGATCTGATCAAACAGAATTCTAGTTGTCGTAATTGAATTTATCTCGATCTTTTGTAGCTAGAATATTTCATAGATTTAACTTAAGTATCTGATTCGTATGTTTCTTCATGGCTCTATCAGATTATCAATTTTTGCAACCTGACTTTTTTCCCGTTGAACGAAAGATACAAAGTTCTTATCAATAATTCCACCCTTGTTGGCTGGAAGAAGACAAGTAGCATTTAAAAATATGTGGACGCGAAAAAGTTTTTGCGTAAGTCACAAAGTCTAGTTTTTACGTGTAAGCACAATAATTTAGGTTTGCTTGCTGCGAAATACACATAGCGTGTCGAAGAACTGTTATTTCTGTTACACGGAGGGTATTTTCTCTTAAAATTTACCCTGAAAATCATGTGATTTGAAATTTACTATACATTTTTACTTAAAATGTAGTAAAAACTTAAAAAATTTTTCAAAATGCCACGTTGTTCCACGATTACATGAATTTCAGGGTAAATTTTAAGAGAAAATACCCCCCGTATAACAGAAATAACAGTTACTAGTAAAATGTATGGTAAAATTAAGAAAAAACAAAATTCTTCAAAATGCCACGATGTCCCACGATTACACGACTTGTAGGTGGAATTTAAGAAAAAATTCTCTCCGCGTGTATATCGTTTTATCAGAAGCTACTTTGTTGCATCCATAAAGTAAACTCCGCAGAACCCACGACGTATCGTGACGAAGAACCCCTAGGATTCGTTGGCGATTGGAACAAAGAGAAATTCATGGATCGTAATTTGGACAGTCACGGAAAACTCGCTGCCAATAATTTCTTCGTACGATCTGCTCTCTCACGGCGGCGGGACGACTGTAATCGCGTAGGTACGCGCGGCGGCACTCAATAAAAATTCCGCGGATACCGTTTATAACAACGCGAAGTTCGAGCGCGTCTTCGCCGAGACGGAAAAACTCGCGAGGCTTAATTAACGACGGCAAAAGTAATAATCCGCCGCGCTCGCGCGCGCCTCAAAAATCCGGAAAGTCTCAGCTCGCGCGCGCTTTATGTCGCCGCGAGGTGTAATTATTGCCCACGTCCACAATTAATCGTCACCATTAGCACCAGTTGCGACCACCCACGATGCGCGGTAACGTACGCCGGCTCTTGGCCGGTCCACCGATCGTCACGGTTGTACCTGCTGATCGATCGATTCCGACGTATCTCGAGCCGATACGGACGAGAGACTCGCGACTCTCTCCTCCGCGTTTCCCTTCTAACACAACTAATTTGTCTGCCTACCGGTTCAATATCATTCCAATGTTTATTTCACCGTAAAATATCTATTTATCTGCGCTGCTTTTGAATTAATTCGTCTCGCTGCGCTGGTCTTTTGAATATTAATGTTCCTAGCCGCAATGCATAGGACTGTTGGCTTATTGGGCGGAATATACATATAATAAACTCAAGTAATGGATCGTGGAGCCTATAATGTAATAATGTAAATACAATCGAAATAAATATATTGGAATCTGAGTGCAGGAGTACAGGATGTAATAGAACACGCGGGCGTACTTTCACTGATGCATTCAGGATATTAAGATAGAGGAAAATATTCATGCAAATGTTCGTCCTATCTCAGCTTGCCTCCGAGTTACAAATGACGTTGACATACCTCGGCAACCCATCCGAGGGTTGCCAACGAATTCGGACAACACCTGGCAATTTTGAACGGGTCAGAGGGTTAATGGTCTAGAGGCCTGTATTCGAGCCGAAGGTCACTTCTGAGCAACTTCTGTACAAGTGGTACAATATAAAAACGGCTATAACTCGGAAATAAGGAGATAGGACAAACCTTTACACTTTTTCTTTCTTTAGTATCCTGAATCCATCAGTGAAAGTTATATCCACATGCCCCGTTGCGCTCTGTGTATTCTTTTTCAAGAATTAAATGGATGTGAAAAGTTCTCGAAGTTTCTAAGGATCCGAGTTTTCGCTTTCTATCTTTCTTTCCAACACTGGCTGCGTTCGGTAGCAAAAGCTGCTGCGCAGCTGTTGTAAAATTCATGGATCTGATTGGCATATGCTCTTAAATTCACTCAAAATTATGAGAATACCCCAATCAGATTCACGAATGTTGTAACAGTGGCAAAGCAGTTTTTTCTGTTGAACGCAGCCACTTTGTCTCTTTCAGTAATGACGCATCCAATGGCTGCATTCGCCAGAAAAAGCTGCTTTGCAACTGTTGTAAGAATCTTGAATTAGTGTATACACTTAATTTTGGCAGAATCTAAGAGCATCCAATCAAATTAACGAATCTTGCAACAGTTGCAAAGCAGCTTATTCTGCTGAACGCAGCCGATGACTTAACGGCCTTCAATTGAAATTAATCGTAGAAAGATCGTTGATCGAAATGCTCGGTCACACGCGATATACAGCCGTGGCAAAAGCAAGAGCAAGTGTGCTCGTGTCTTCTTAATTGCTGGTAAACGGTGAACAATACGTCACAGTTTGAGCTGGCCGTCGCAAGCAACGCGCGACTCGTCGCGTCGGTCTAATTAATTCAACGGCAATAACGATCGCCGCCGAATCGTCGGGTTTCGCGCGGAAACCGGACGAGCCCGGTTGATATATCGCCGGCGATTTACGGCTACAGGTTGCATATTCGCCGCAGTTATCTCACGGGATAGCATGCGAACGCGAGCGCTCGATCGCGCGCGTTATTTATGGTCGGGCTAATGAAGTTAGTCATTATCTAACGCATATCGCGCGCGTGCAAGAAACCGCGGATCGAAACGCGGAGTTAGAATCATGATTAATGAATTAATAACGACACACACACGCGGCGGGCGCTCGCTCGCGCGCAAACAACGTTGCTCCCGCGATTAGCGCGATAAATGCCGGGGCAGACAGGTGTTAATGCGTGCGCGCACGAGCGCACGGCGTACAATAATTAACGCACGAAGGTCAATGCGATTCGAGCGGAGGATTACGTTTTCATTGGAAGAAGCTACGTCGAATGCACCGGTGAAAGAACAAGCGTGAGAAACGTCACTGGTCCCGCGAGACGTCACCTCGCGCGATATGTTTCTGTACGCACGCTGACGCTTGGCGCGTCCCTGGGAAATGTACTACGCTAAACACGTGCGAAAGAAAGAAAAGGTGCAAAGTGAAATATGAAGTTCAGGTACCAACGTGTATGCATTTCACCGCAACTGAGTTTTTAGAAAAATATTAAGCCCTGAAAATGTTAAAGGCTTTGAAAAATTCTCTATCTAGTGTATTTTTTTTTCAAGATTGTTACGTCTATTTCTCGGAATTCTTCGGTAAGTAAACGAAAATAAGTATCTTACGTTTTTACTTTACCTTTTCATTTGATCGTCGTGCAAGTAATTGATATTGTACTTTTTTCTTTTACCGGCAAATCGATTCTTAATCTATTTCTGACAAGAAGCCAATTGACAGATCGATTTAGAAAGCGAAAACGAAAGGGCAATGGAATTTCCACGCCGACGCAAACCGGTCGAAGATCAAGGGCAGGTGGAACTGATTCCCTCTGCACGATTTTTCTTTCCGATGATTCAGCGAGTGCAATAATGATCTCAATTAACGCTTGAATCGTTAGCTGTGATGTCAGCATTGACAACCGGAAAAGAGTCTTTAAGATCACTAATAATTGAGCCACGAGAAAATTTCTCATTATTTGTCGAAAATACCTAGTTTATCCTTCACATGTACCCACAATTTACATGCATTTTAATTCAAATCAAGCAAATTGCCCGTAACCATTAGGTATATTGCCATTAGCTGCAAGAAAAAAAAATAATGCGAATGAATAATGTGATTCGAACGAGCTAGTGGAAAGACGAGGCTTTTCATCAAGCTGAATATTTTATAGATCTTTATTCCCTTGCAGATGATTGTTTCAACATTTTTATGAGCGCGATCCCAGCTTGATTATTTATTTATTGATAATTCATGCAGCAAACAAGAAGAGAAAATCTCTATAATATAACATGCAATTCCGATGGACATCATGTTTTCCTCAAGTCCTTTCGATTAGTCAAGTCCATTCGATGACTTTGTCAACAGGTCTATTAACCACTCAGTGCAACCATAATTTATTTCAAAAAGGCTCGCTAATGTCGGCGATAAAATATTTTACGACGCATTTATAAGCGTGTGTTCGTGGAAAGAGAGAAAGAGAGAGGACAGGAATTCGACTGTATACCGAAGGTGAATTAAAATTAAATCCCGGGCTCGCTCCCTGACACTCACCACCACGTGGATCCCCTGCCGCGATTCTTGTTTCTGGTGATCTCCTCCAGCGACGCGTGAACCGTCGCCGAGAGCACGGCCAGAAACATCCAGAGCCTCATCTTCCGGCGTGTCTCGCGTGTGTCTACGTGATCCCGGAATGTCCCGCGCGCAAGATCCGCTCTCGTCTCTTATCTCCGATCGTGGACTAGCACCGTGGACACCAACTATCACTGAACGAACATCTTCTCGCGAATACTACCCGCGCTCTCGATCCTTCGTCGACGCGAACTTACTCTCGGCTCCCCCTCGAGTCGCACTCACGGGGTCGTGTGCATGACCCCGACGCTAATCGCTTGATAAGATCGTCCTGGGATTTAAGCGCGATCCTTCCGGGGTGTTTCGATAACGGTCACTGATCACCGCGTCACCCTTGTGGAATCGACGTTCGGCGAACCGTAACGGAGCCGGTCAACGTTATCGAGCGAAGACCTGTAACCGTCTCTGTCTCTCTTTCTCTCTCTATTTTTCTCTGCGAGCACTTCCGCGCACTGATCTGGAGACCTGTCGTTTCGTGTCAAGCCGAGTGTTCGTCGCGAGGCTTGTCAAGGTGTCCGTTAGATCTGACTAACACCGTGACGCTTAGGATCCTGTGGCTGACTGCGAATACGCCAGAACGTGAAACCGGCCACGAAAATTCACCCCTCCCGAAAGGCCCTTCACGAGGGGTGGGTGTCACCCTTCAAGAGCGTTCGAACGAGCGATAGGTGGTGGGAGAAAAAGACGTACGACGGCCAAGCACAAAATGGTTCGAGAAGGTCTTGTATACCTGCCGAACCCTCCTGGACGCGTTCCAGCGTGCCGGACGCCGCCAGCCGTTTGCTTAGGGTCACACAGGTAAGGCACCCAGACTCGGAAACGCCACCGGAGCCGGTGTTTAAGCTTCTCGCCTAATCTCTCAGGGGTGACGTATACGCGTGCCGCGCTCTGCTCCTTCCGTTCCGTTCATCTGTCGACCGTCCGTGCCAACTCTTTGCTTCCTCGATGGGGAGGTCCTTCGAGTGGTAATGTGTGGTGGTGATGACGGCGGCGGCGGCGGTGGCGGCGGCGGTGGCGGCGGCGGTGGCGGTGGCGGTGGCGGCGGTGGCGGTGACGCGCGCGCGTGCATGCGTACCTGCCGCGGGCGTGCGTGCACGCGTGCTCGTATTGGGATACGATGTAAGACGATGAAGGGGAGAGATGTTCTATTCACCCTTTTCTCTTTTGCACCCTCTCTATCTATCCGTCTTTGTTCTCTCTTTTTCTCTGTCACTCTCTGTCCCTCTCTCTCCCCCCCTCTCTCTCT